CTTCCTTTTATTTGTCCTCAATTCGAAAAAGTATTTGTGAAATGCAGAAAGAAAGTGAATTCAAAGTAAAATTTGTATGAGGATATATAGACACTTGTTTAAAGAAAGCAATCTCTGGATTACGTCTGCATTACTCCTGCATTACTTTTCAACTAGCTTCAGGTTAGTTTCTTGTAGCAAACTACAAGTTATCCCGCAAAAATAGCTAACTACAAGTTGGTTAGTTTTTATCAATTGGTACATTTTTTCTGCAGGGATATCTACATACGTACATTTGTATATGCAGCTCCTCTCAAGCACTGATGCTGACCAAGACAACACATTCGCTACGAGTATCTGAATGTAACACATTCAAAAAAAACGTTATTATTTTTAATTAGAAAGAAAAAAAATAAAGGAACACAAAAAAATAAAATAAAGAAAGATTAAAGAAACAAAAAATCACACCAAAGCCACCATTCGAGCTAAAGAAAGTGAAATGCGTAGCTTGGTAGAAAATTAGAGGGTTGTTGCCCCATTGCTTGTCCGATCGTATATTTGTGTATGTACATATGTATGTACATATCTAAGTTACGTTACCCTTGATCAAACTATGTTCATAAAAAAGTATGTATGTATGTCTGTAGCATTGAAATACCCAATTATTGAGGTCTACCGCCGCATGAAAAGGATTTGTTTCGTATTGATTTGCTCTGATTGACGTGCAGGAAACGGCAGGTTTGGTTTATGATTTTATTTCTTTTTTTTTTCAAATTACAATTACAAAAATTGGAATCTGATGAAGACAGGTATTGCATGTCATGATGGAATAAAATTTGATTGTACATTATTATGCATTTCTAGTATGCCTTTCGACATACCTTTTCGTTTTGATTTTCATAATAAGATTTTAATAAAGAATTCAGAGGATTTAGGCGAAAGTAAATTCAAAAAAAAAGAAAAAAAACATAAGTTAGGAAAGAAGGGGTGTTTCTTAATGATACTTAATATCCGGTCATTCGGGATGCTGTTGTCATATGTATATGTGCATATGTATATATTTATTTGTACTTACTGCTTCTTAATTATATTCCTTTTGATTGGTGGAGATTTTCATTCAACTTACAAAAAAAAATCTCGTTTCTTCAAATTGGTAGCGTTGAGATAGCCGAAATCCCTTCAGATGTAACTTTCGAATTGAGATTCATTCCAGACGAGTGCATCAAACGTTATCTGCCGTATTATCCAACAACAAATATGGCGCAAAGAGCATTCTCTTGTACATACATTTAACATTGAGAGTAGTGTTGCCACTATTGGTCTTTTCCGACAAAATTTGTTCGCTTCTTTTTCATTTGGTAGGTTGGTAGGCAAAGTAAGATTCTGGTCGGATAGCTGAATTAAGTTATTAAATTCTTAATTATAAAAATTTATATTTCAAACATCATTTGCATATAAATATTTGCCAATTGTACCTTTCGAATTCCCTCGAGTCAGGGACTCAATTTGAATTGCTTACTCAATAGGTAGACAATACGGAAAAACCTTAGCCCATGAAACTTTTTACAAGCCGCATGAGCCATTAGTATGACAGCCACACTGACGAATTTCTGCATATTTGACTGGCCATGAAACTAAAAATGTTTCTTGAAAAACTATCATACGCCCAAAGCCAACACAAAGCTGATCCATACCCACCGTAATAAGAATGCAATTACCATTGAAATCGCTGATCTGGCTAAATAAAGAACCGGACTATGCCTCCCAGCTCAACCCGCAACATAAACATAAAACTCCTGACCCGACTGCCAAATGTGATGAGTAGAAATCCGCAAGACCAATGAATACAGAATTATGCTGCTAAATTGACGGATCTACATACATATAAACGGTTGGGTTCAAACTCAATGGAAAGGTCGGATAAGATGTTTATTCAGATTGGTCTGTTTTCGCCAATCCGATTACTGTAGATCCACTAAGGCCTAGCTGATGCCTATTTCAAAGGTCACATCACTGGCAAAATTTGCGCTTACAGCCTTGCAAAATGTCGCTTACATATTAAAAAGCCGAGAAATGCGACTGATCACTTAATGAAATGGCTGGGATATTTCGTAAACATATTGTGTGGGTAGGCCGTAGCGACATTAACACGGCACTTCTGGCTAAGATAGTTTCAGGTCTTTTGTAAGACAGATGAAGGTCAGTAGTATTCTGGCACGAAAGTCTTACAAACACTTGTGCATATACCAAATGTAGATTAGTACGTACTTACAGTATCGGTCATATCTATAGCACGCCATTTCAAAGTGATATTGTGTGCGACTTATGTTTATTTATTTATTTTTAAGAGTTTTTAATTAAAATACAGTTCATTCTCAGACAAACCCCATATAAACCCAAGTGTAATAGTTTGTAGAAAGCTACAAAAAAGTGCAACAAATATTTACCTTAATTACAAACTTTTTTCTCGGAAGTGTTAGAATTTTTTTGAGTACACAGTTTTTTAGTCTGATAATGTGCAAGTTTCAAGTGGCTAAAGATTACCGTTGATTTTTTAGAATTTTTTTCGCCAAAGGTGTTGCGGATTTCTTCCATATACAAATAAATTGAGTTTATTCATTATATGGAAGCCAATGCGACAAACAAAAATCTAAAAAATAAACGGTAATTCGTAGCCACTTCAAATTTGCATATTATCAGACTAAAAATGAAGGGGCTAAAAAACTGTGTACTCAAGAAAATTCTAACGCTTCCGAGAAAAAAGTTTGAAATTTACGTGAAAATTTGTTGCACTTTTTTGTAGCTTTCTACAAATTATTAAGCTTGGGTTTGTATCGGGTTTGTCTGAGAATAAACTATATTTTTAATTGAAAATTCTTAAAAAATAATAAATAAATATAAGTGGCACACAATATCACTTTGAAATGGCGTGCTATAGATATGACCGATACTGTATGTATGTAGTATATCATTTTGCACCCGCTGCTCCAACAGTCGCAATGGCCGTGTGAGCAAAGCACTGGCGTGCTATGCCGATCGAAAGATCCGAGGGTCGAATCCTCGGGAAGCGGTTTTTTTATTGTTATAAAAAGAAATAATTTTTTTTTTATTTCATGTAAGTTTTTATTTACTTTTCTTTTAAATTTTGATGTTATTGTTTTAAAATGAAAATTTTTTATATTCATTACGTTTTTAGGAACTTATTTCCTTTTTTACAAGTAATTTTTTTATTTGTTTTTTTTTTTTTCAAGGGATCCGAGCTTCGAGCGTCGAATTCTCGGGGAGCACAATTTGTAATTTTTTGTACCTCTTTCTTTTTTACTTAAATTTCTTTTAAATTTTTACATTTAATAGTTTTAAAACGAAAAAAAAATATAAATACATTTGATTCTAAGAAATAATTTTTATCATATAATTCATAATTTTATAATTTTTTTCTTTATAATTAAATTTTCTTTTAATTTTTAAATTATATTGTTTTAAAAATAAAAAAAACTTAATTTACATTTACATGTGAACATTTTTACAATTCTTTTTTCCCCTTTTTTTCAAGAGATCTGGGCTCTGCAAGCGGATATTATATTTTATATTTTTTCTTTTATTTTTTTTTGTGTCGTTCTTTTACTTAAATTTAATTTTAATTTTTCGGTTTAACTGTTTTAAAAAGAAACATTTTTTTAATTTAATTTTTTATTTTTATTCTTTTATCAATATAATTTTCTTTTAATTTTTAGATTTTATTGTTTGCCAAACCAAATTTTTTTTATGTAATTTTTAGGAACTTATTTTCTTTTTTAGGGCTAACTTTTTTCTTTTTTCATTTAATTTTCTTTTAATTTTTAGATTCCATTGCTTTAGGTCTTATAGTGTATAATGAAATAACATGTTTTTTAATTTATTTTTTTTTTGTATTTATTTCTTTTTATCATTAAGTTTCTCCTTTTATAATTTTTAGATTTTATTGTTTTAAAAAAATATATTATTTTTTTATTTTTAATTTGTTTAGTTTAAAGTTTTCGATTTTATTGTATTAAAAATAAAATTTAGTGTAAATATGATTTTTTTATTTTCATTGTATTTTTAGAAACTTTTTTTGATTAGTTTTTTAAATTAAATTTTCTTTTAATTTTTAGACTTAATCTTTTTCAATTTCCTTTGATTTCTATAAAAATAAGTTTTTTTTTCTTTTTTAATCTATTTATTTTTCTTTTTCTAATTAAGTTTTGATTTCATTTGTTTGTAAAAATTTTTTTATTTCATTTAATTTTTAAAAGCTTTTTTATATTTTTTTTACATTTAACTTTTTAATTTTTCATAAAATGTTTAGTTTTTATTGTTTTAAACATTTTTTATTTGCTTTATTTCTTAGAAAACTTATTTCTAAAACACAAGCAGAGTAACGCTACGACCTCCTCGTTAGCAGTCTCATTAAGTCTTTCAAAAGACAGAAAAGAGCTTACTTCGTTAGTTGCCACAGTTGGCAATTGCCTTAAGAAGTACTGTGATGAGTCAAAATATAGTTGATAGCACTCCTGTAGGGGTAATTGCAATGCAGATGAGCTTTGTTCCTGGTACGCCGGTAGTCTTTGCGGGCCATTGTTTTATTGGCTTATATGTATGTAGCCAGTTTAGGAGTTCCTTGCAAAGTTTTCTGTAAAATCTGTCGGAATGAAACTATATTACATCTATTCTATCACTGCCCGGGTGTCGCTAGACGGTCGTTTTAACCTTACCCACCTTTTTTTTGTGTTACACAAAGAGTTTTCTCTAGGCAGACGTAGCCTTCATTAGTTAGTGCCACCTGCTGTCTTTAAGAGCGGACATATCAGACCAAACGTTAGACAGCCACTTCCTCAAGAGTTTATCGGTTTTGTTTCAGAACCTGTGGTAGGCTCAAAGTAAATGAATACGTTCGCAAATATTCGCATTCAATGACAAAGGATTCAGCAATACTTACATATGCTTTTCTAAAATAAAAAAAACTCCCAATTTCTTTCTTTTGATTATTTAATTATTTCATGTTTCTTTTAAAAGTATACTTATGCAAAATTTTTTAAAAATTCTCTCTAATTCAACTAATACAATTCAATAAACTTAATGACAATATTTAACAATTGTGCGAAATCACATCGACGATACAACTGCCGGCAGCTGGCGCTGGAAGCGTGGCTACTTGCAAATGCCTCTCCTCTACTTTAAAGCTTTATGTTTGGTGGGCGACATGGCGCGTGTTGGCGTGTCACTCGTTTTAAGTTGCATGGATTGGTTGACGGCAGGCGTTGCCTGCACGTCTGGAAGACTTTATCACTGAGCAATTAACATTTAAGTTTTGTACTGGGACGTTTGCCGATTTAACGACTTGACGCCTGCGCACCACACTACCATGGTCGCCAGACATCTTCCTCCTCGGCCCGAGCTGCATGACTGCCCGTAGTGGCATCAATGGGCGAGTGACCGCTGTAGGTGGTGAGTAGATTTTGACTTTGGCCATGTTTTTCGCTACTGACGCTCGAATTCGGACTACCATTGTAGCTGGAGATGGGTGAAATGGGTACCGAATAATGCGCGCCGCGTCCTCCCGCTGTTTGAGCAATGTGTACCGAAAGCGGTGCGGTAATGGGTGTGGGTGCATGTACGGCAGGCTGCAATTGATTTAAGCGCTGGCCGAGATGTGTCATCAGCTGTGTGCCAAGATTAACATTAACGCCGGGCAATTGCGAGAGCGAACGGGACACCTCGTTGACTGCATGAATGTAACCGGAACGGAAACCCTCAGCTTTTGACATAGCGCCACCCTTTGAGGCGGCCGCTTTGCGTTGCTGCTTCAACTTTTGCAAATGGGCAACGGTCAACTCGAGAATATCGGCTTTCTCCAATCTCGTGACATGTTCACCCTCCGACTCCAATGTGACGACCATTAAATCTTTCAACTCGTCCAGGCACTTGTTGATGCGTGCGCGCCGTTTACGCTCCAACATTGGCTTCATCACTTTGCGATATTGGTAGGTCTTGGACATTTCCGATACTTGTATGGACATTGTGATGTCTTAGTGTGTGTGTGTGTGTGTGTGTGTGAAGTACTAAAATCCAGTGTGACTTTTACTGCTGAGTGCTTGCGGTGGAATGCATGACTCCTTCGACAGGCTGTGCTCTTTTATACTGAACTCCTCTGCTAAGGAATGTTGCAGTGAGCGCAACTCCGAGCCGAGAGAGCAACCTTCCACAAGACTTTTGTAAAGATNTACTTGTATGGACATTGTGATGTCTTAGTGTGTGTGTGTGTGTGTGTGTGAAGTATTAAAATCCAGCGTGACTTTTACTGCTGAGTGCTTGCGGTGGAATGCATGACTCCTTCGACAGGCTGTGCTCTTTTATATCCAACTCCTCTGCTAAGGAATGTTGCAGTGAGCGCAACTTCGAGCCGAGAGAGCAACCTTCCACAAGACTTTTGTAAAGACACGCAAGCAGGCGCTTGAGAATTCGATGCTCTATCGCATACAATAGTCATATCAGAGAGCCGCACGTCCTTTTGTGTCCTTTTCCTGCCTTCCCTTGATTGTATTCGCTCAGCTCGATAAAGTAGAAATCAACCCTCAATTTCCTCTTACCCTTCTTCGTTTCATGGCTTGCAGTCCAGCACACACACACACACACACATGCACGCTCGCTTCTTTGCTTGCTTACACTTCGCGCTGCCCTTTGCCCAGTCGCCCTTCTTGGCAGCCCATTCCTTTGCATGAATCCTTGGTTTGTCTTACTGGCAAGTCACCCCTTGTTTACTCGCCGTACGCGCGTGTGTGTGTGTGCGTGTACTTTAGGGGAGGAAATCAAACTTCAATACACGTGAAGACGAAGGATCATTGGGATCGCTCCAAACCGTGGGAACTACGTTCCTTGTAGGTTTCTCACACATCGTAGAGCTCACCTGCGCATGCAGCCAGAAGACAGCCGGACAATATGTCAGTCAGTCAGCCAGCTTGCCAACCAGCCAGCCGGGCCAGAGGTGAGTAAGGATAAGGGCGCACATACATACATGGACACCCTTAANTTCCTTGTAGGTTTCTCACACATCGTAGAGCTCACCTGCGCATGCAGCCATAAGACAGCCGGACAATATGCCAGTCAGTCAGCCAGCTTGCCAACCAGCCAGCCGGGCCAGAGGTGAGTAAGGATAAGGGCGCACATACATACATGGACACCCTTACGGAATGCGTGACGTTGAGCTGGTATGTATGTTGGCTTGTTGGCGAGCAGTCAGCCGGCTCCTCGGGGTCGTATACTGAGCAAAGCATGGGAATTTTGCAATCTGGTCGTCCGTTATGAGGTGAACGGCTGTGCAAGGCGGCTGACATGCACCGAACTGAGCGCTGAGCTGTGAAGTACTGTAATGAGTTGAATCGTCGCAGCTGTGCTGCAGCTACTGCAGTTACTGTTTCTTTGATTCCGATTTCAATTCTTCACGCTGGCTGTGTGTAATAATCCTTAATCGTTGTGTCCTGTTGCACGCAAGGACCAACGGAACGTAAAAGAAGGGAAAATAATTGAAATGATATCAACCAAGCAAACAACAGCAGGAAAAAAATAATAAGGAAAAAAGGCGACGAAAGCGTAACGCGTCAGGGAATTCCTTTAAAGTGTACAACGCTTGCTGCAGCTGTTGTTGTTGTTGTTGCTCAACTGTTTGTGTCCGTCTGTGCATAATGAAATCAATCGTAATGTGGGAAAGCGTTCCCACGGTTTGCATCGACATGGAGCGGGTCGGGTCGTTAGCGTTGTTTGAATCGCATGCTTGGCCAGCGGTAGCCAAGAAAGTGAAAAGGTTTGTGTACAACATTGCAGTCGTTGTTTTTGCTGTTGTACTGTTGCCATTGGCGTGTCGTGTCGTGACGTACGAGTATTCAGACGGCAGGGAAATGTGAGCATGGGTTATCATAACGACTTCCTGTCAATTGGGCGAGCGCTTTGTGTCTCATCACACTAACTGACTAGCTGTTGCGGTTATTCTCATTCATTTTCTTGCACTGCTTTTGGCGCTTTTTTTCGTCTGTGCGTTTTGGTCGAAGCGTGCACGCGAGCGCACTTGTTTTCTCAGGGTCGTAATTTTGTACTTGTGAATAGACTTTTGCTTGGCCCACGTTGCTTTGCTGTGCGTACGCACGCTGAATGGACGTGTGTGCTGCGCATGCGCGGCTGACTTTTATATCGGCGGCGTTTTGGATAAGTGCTCGTGGGGTTATTGTATATGATTTTCAATTAGAATGCAAATATAATTACTTGTTTTAGGGCTATGGGTGGTGGTGTGCTAGGCGCTTGCGCTTCGGATCTTTAAAGTTTTAAACGACTTGCGTATACCCTTTTAAGCGCGTGTTTGGTGTTAGGACAAAGAGTGTTTTCATGGGTGCATTCAAGTTTTACACTTAATGTTAGTTTCTATCACTTAAAAGCTGCATATACTAGGTGTGCCAGTTACTGTCGAAATTCGACCGTTTTTCTAGTTTTATAAAAAAACTTGGAGACAATTTTTTAACTTAGCACGTCCTTTAACTAATATACATAAATGGAGCAAAATCACTTACCGAAAAATCTCCTGGTTTGGAACTAAAACGTGACTACAATTTTTTATATCTTTGAAGGTCTTTGGCAGTACTTCGAATTCGTTCCATACATTCCAGTTTGCCGATAAATTTCGATTGTTCGAAACATATCGATAATTCAATAAATTTCAAAAACATTAAAAACCAATAACACAAAAAAATCGATATCTCGACTAATTTCGATAATTTTCGACAAATTTCGATAACTCTTAAATTCGAGGGCTCGATAAATTTTTTGATATAAATCGATTACTCGATAAACTATGGATGCTTATAAATATTTCGGCGAGCAGTAAACACTCCTACACTTATAAAACCTTAAAATTTCGATAACTCGATATATTTTGAAAATTGCAAAAAATTTTGATTCGATAAATCGACAAATTTCAGTAAATCAATAAATATCGATAACTCGACAGGCTAAAATAACTCGATGCATTACGATAGCTCGATAAATTTCGATAACTATATAAACAAAATAAATTTCATTAACTAGACAAATTTCGGAAGTCCTATAAATTTTTATACCTCGATAACTATCCCTAAATTTCGACAACAAATTTTATTTTTCGACAACTCAATAAAAATTGATCAATTTGAATAAGTCGATACGTTGCGATAACTCAATAAACATGGATAGCTCGATAAATTTCGATAACTATAAACATCGATGATTCGATAAATTTCGGTAACTTGATAACTTTCTGTAAATAAATTTTTTATGACTGAACTTACATATTTCGATTCCTATCGAAAAATTTAAATAAACTCTCTTACCCTGTCAGCTACTCCAATTCTTATGTATTTCTCATTATTTTCACTTTTGTCTTTATCTTTTTTGACTTAATCGTTATTATTTCGCGTATTAAGCCTTCGATCAAGTCGTGGCCAGATGTTTCTTTGCTGCCGGAAGCTGAAAATTGGCATAGAACTTCATAGCCAGATTTAGGAGGTTGCCTATTTCATTAATGCTGACCTCACCGCTATTAACGGGACCTTGCTTGTAACTAACACGCGCGTTTACATGAGGCGATTTTACAAGCAATTTTAGAAGCGATTAGTTTAATCCATAGTTGGTTGCCACCCAACTTCATTCGAAGCGATTATTTGAAAGGCCGTTCACACCAGGCGATTGTTGCTTTCAACTAAAAGTTGTCTGTAAAATCGCCTCATGTAAACACCGTTTAAACAAACATTCAACATTTCAGATACGACAAGAGGGCGAGAAAATTTTTACGTTAAACAGAGCTCGTTATCGCTATCACAGCCCTGTTTGGGATATGATCGTTTTCCGCGTATTTTGTTAAGAGTTGTGTGACTAACAGGGCAATCCTCACAACTGTCTTTCAACTCACCACAGTCTAACGTAAGACAATTTTCCATTCTGGCTACTTTGAAAGCTCTGTTCAGTCTTTCGAAAGACTAATTTAAAGATTTGCTAACGGGGAGGTCTTAGCATTGTTATGCTTGTCTTTTAGCGCTAAGTTTTCTAAAAATTAAATTAAATATCTATACAAAATTAACATTTTTTTAAACAAGAAAAATAAAAATTAAAAAGAAAAATGGTTTCATTAAAAAAGAAAAACATACATTGTGGTTGTCCACACTTGCCTAGTTATCAGGTTATCTGATTAAAATATTTTATTCTATAGTGTGAACTGAATAAAAAATCTAACCACATAACCAGGTAACCTGATAACCAGACAATGGAAGTAGTTTTTTTGGCCGCGGTCCAGAGGCCCAAAATAAAAAGGAAGGAGGAAAGCTATTTACTAGATCATTTATTCTTCTTTAAAAAATTCTCACTTATTTGAAATATGGAAAGGAGAGCAAGAGAAACTGAGTGTAGAAATGGATGTACACAACAATTTTGTTAAAAGCTTTGAGGCCAACAATGCGTCATCGCATTGGTAAATATGTTTTAAAAAGAATATTTGAATTAGCTTAATGCAACAACGACATTTAAGAGCTTTCAAAAGCGGAGCGAGCTTAGAGTCGTGGGGTAGTCACTCTGTCTTCAGTTTTAAAATACGACTTCGGGAAAACCAGCCTAAGTCTATTCGCAACAACCTCCGATTACATTACGCTTGTTTAATTCCTCGCGGAAATCCCTTTGGAATAATCGAACTCTGCAATCAATTCGATTTTGTGGACCTATAAAACTTCAATTCGTTAAAGAAACAGGCGAAATTATTTTGAAATAGAATGCTGATTTACATGCAAATTCTGGCTAAGATAGTCCTAAGTCTTGTTTAAGACAATTGATAGACAGTATGTAAGATAGTTTGATAGATTTTGTTTATTCTGGCATGAAAGTTTTACGAAAAAAGCTCAGTAGCCAACTTTCGGGTTGAAAAGCTCTTTTTACTGAAAGCACTTGAGCATGTGTTCCAAATGAGGATCTATGTATACCATTTTGCCAACAGTCACAATGGCCAAATGAACTATTTTTCGTTATTTTTTAATAAACAATTTTTCTTTTTTAAAATAATTTTATTGTTTTTATTATTTTTTAATTTTTTCTTTTAATTTAAAACAAATTTAAGGCAAAACTGATTGTGGGTAAAGTTCTAAACGTATTCACAGAGAATACGTAACCCAAATTTTTATTATTTTTTTAATTTAATTTTTCGATTGTGTGCTACAAAAAAATTTTTTTCTTTTTAAATTTCATTTAATATTTAAAAAATTGAATTTGTTTCTTCATTTGATATTTTTTTTTACTTTTTCTGTTTTCTTTTTTTAAGAAACATGTTTTTTAATATAATTATTTTTTAGAAACTTATTTTATTATATTGTATTTATTTTTTTTTTACAAATTAATTTTCTTTGAATTTTTTAGCCTTTACAAAGCAGATCTTTCACTTAGACTTTTGTCTTTCAAAAGACTGTGGTGAAAAAAGATAGTTGCCAGAATTGCTTTGCTAAATAATAAAATTAGAAGCTTGGAAAACTTTATTAAAAAAAAATTCAAGGCAAAACTGATTAATGGTAAAGTTCTAAACGCGTTCACTCAGAATACATAAATCCAATATGAGCTGTTTTATTCATGGTGCCACACCAAAAATTTCAAAATATATAAAAAAAAAATATAATAATATAAAAAAGTACAAAAGTGAAATATTCCAGCATAAATAAGTAAAGAAATTTAAGATATGACGATTTTCACGTTTTTTTGCAAATTACTCGAAAATTTTAACTTTTTTTTGGATTCAGCACGTCAAATTACATAAGGATAAGTGGGTCTCTCGTCTCATATCCTCTTTAAGTTGTGTAAGAAAAACGATAAATGTCCTTTGAAATTTGTATCCTTTAATATACATAAGTACCTGTAAAAAAACCTAAGTACGCTCCGAATTCCAGCTTTTCAATAAATACCCCCTTTGTATTCTGGGACACCCTAGTGTTCCCTCTTTTTTATTAGAGCGAACTCAGTTTAGTTTTAAATAATATTTTATTGTTCTATAAGATGAAATTTGACAGAAACTTAAATATGTTTCTAATCTTTAATTTCTAAAATTTAGATGCTTAAAATTTATGGAAAATATTAAAGCAATTAAACCAATAGATGCTTAAAATTTATAAAAAATATTTAAAGCAATTAAACCAATAATGTATTAAAGTGTAATATACAAAAGCGTGGAAACTCGCTCATCTTAAACTATTAAAAAAAAATCAGACATAAAATGGAAGTAGATTTTGAAAGAAATGAAAAACTTTATACGAAACATAAATACCAAACTGGAAGCATTAATTCTCTTATAACTAAAGCTTAACTATATACGTACATAGATCAAAGGTCACTTAAATGTAAGACACTTGGAAGTACTCGATAAGTAATACGGAGATCGGTTTACGAACAGACCAATCGCTAACTGAGTGTAGTTGGCGGCTATCACAGGCAAATCACATTAATACAACAAACAAATTATAAAGTTATCAACTATTTCTAACGACAATTTGTACTTACAACAATAAAGCTGACATGATTTTATATAGTATGTAGAATTACTAAAGATCCACTAAACACTTAAAGCTACTAAAGCCGCTGGCAGTTTAAAACAAAAAAAAAAAAACAAAGCTTTTAAAAATTGTCAACCTGCTGTTTGCGCGCACCCACTTACCACGGACGCCACAAGCATTCACCGCCGTTTTCTGCGTCCGCTTCTTTCATGCGCTGCATATTTCCACACATTTGTTGTTGCAGCTGCTGATGTTGCTGCTGCTGCTGTTGTTGTTGTTGTTGTTGGTAAGCGCGTCTCATATACTCAGCATCCAGATATGCTGCCGTCGGTGATATCGCATCAGCACGTTTGACTACCTCTAAATTAAGCGCCTCCTCACCACTAGCGGGCGACTGCATTGCGCGCGCCGCATGTGGCGGTGGTAGCGCCAATGGTACCTGTTGCAAATCCTTTAGCTGATAACCCAAATGTTTCATAAGTTTCGTGCCGAATTTCACATCCAGACCAGGCACTGTGGCAAACACGCGCGACACTTCATACGCTGCTTGCGTGTAGCCGGCGCGAAATTTCTCCACATTTACGCCACGTCCAGCTGGACCCCCGCTCAGCGCTGATTGATGCTGTGCAACGCTGGCGGCAATTTCGTGCTTGTGCGTGCGCAAGTAATTCACTGTCAACTCCAATATATCGGCCTTCTCCAGCTTGGCAATGTGTTCGCCTTGCGCCTCCATGGTGTCCACAATGAGATCTTTCAGCTCGTCCAGGTAGAGATTCATGCGTGCGCGTCGCTTACGTTCGAGCAACGGCTTTGTTACCTTGCGATAGTGTTGCGTTTTGGTCATGAAGCGTTGTCCGTCCACAGCCATGTTGCTGTAGTGTATTTGTTGCTGGTGATGTTGAAGGTAAGCGCGCGTTCGCGAAACTTAAAAGCGAGGTAGCACGAAAGTGCGCAATATTTGCCCGACTTTGATTTCAGAAAACAAGTTTTTGAGTTGTTTTTTTATTTTTGTTTGGTGTTTCGTTTTGGCACCGACAGACAGACAGACAGACGGTCGGTCGGTAGAAGTGTAGCAAGTGTGTCAAGTGTTTACCGCACGGTAGCTGTTTGAGAAATGATGCGAACGCAAGGTAGAGCGATCCTTTTGTAGCCTTGCCTTCGGCTCAAAACACTGCTGTCTGCCTATAGTGGAGGAATGCAGCCGCTCGTGCACCTCAAAGTGTGTGTGTGTGCGTTGTGCCTTGCATGTGCGCTGCTTGTTGGTGGCTACCGCCACCCCTAAAACGACACCAGCTTCGCAATTTTGATTCTCCGTTCGCAACCTGTTGTCGTGCTGTGTTGGGCTGCATGGCATAGTGTTGCTCCCTCGTGATTCAAATTCTTTCGCTTGCTTCGTTGGCGATGATTCTGATTCGATTTATAAAGATCGCTCATTTTCGTTGCCGTTCGGTTAAGTTAATAGTACGAGCGCCAGACGTGCGTCGTCTGCGCCTTCAAGTGTAGCGCGTTCCAGCAAGCAGCCCTGGCTCTTGTTTTGGTGGTGGATCGTTCGCTTGCTGCTCGGTGGCTCTCGTGCGTCACCTATGAATACAAGTGTGTATGTACGTGGCGCTGCACTCCGACAGCACAGGGCGAGCCCTCCACGTGTACGCCGAGCGATATTGTTTGAAAAAAGTACACTGCGAAATATTTTTGAGTAGCAGAAAGCCAGGTCATCTAATAGGAATTGTTTTTATGGTTATTCCGTCAGTCCTCTTTCCCATTTGTCCCATGCAGTCGAAATAGCAAAAACGCCGGGATCTTACTTGGTTGGGTCTAAAGCTCTTCTGGTGTCAAATGGGTAAGGCATGCAAACAGGTCTGCGATTTCCGCATCGGAGTCGTGGAACTATTGATCTCATCTCTTGGGACGGTCCAATTTCGACCCCGCATATGCAAAGCGCCTGACCTCCTAGCACCGTGTCGCTGCGCTTATCGTGATTTCCTCCCGATACATTGGATTTTAGTTGTGGAGCATTGCAAGTTATCCGTACTCTTCCGCTTAACGCCATGCTGAAGAACACAACACGAACTGCTATCAGACCAAGGGAAACCAGTTTGTTAACAGGCTCCAAGTCCGGATTTAAGGGAGATTTCGATTGCAGCACTAACAATGCAAATTACTGCGCCTCCTAAATACCACCTAGTGGCTTCTTCTACCATAACATTTCCTCAAGGCGTGATTGGGCAGGGCGAGGCTACTGAAGGAAACAAACAATGAACTCTACCACGGATGGATTGAAACTTGAGGACCGACAGGTCTCCATTAAATCTATGTTCAGGCTTCCGGCCTGTTGAAGTGTTACTTTTAGACAGATGGGCCAGATATCATCTAAGCGGGCGTAGATCGGTGCTTGCGATGCCACAGAGCGTTTTTGGCTGGATATGGCATTGGCCGATATGTATTCCAGCAGTAGAACTGGAAATCCTAGCTAATCACTTCAGTCGCAGTTGCCTGTAGAATGACGAGGTAGATTCAGCTCAGCACTTTCTATTCAACTGGCCAGCCTTCGCGAAGTTGAGGTTTAAATATTTATTTAACTAAGCCTGAGGGCTCGCGGCGTTTCGTCGTTTAAGTAATGATTACCGTTTAAAAATTTACATGTTGTAATAGAGGACAATTTTCTTAATGTCCAACTGCGTATCTTATCTGGGATAACCGACAAAAAGCTAGCCTAACCTGACCGAAACTTCGTCTATAACTCACACTAATAAAAAATAAAATGGGCTCGCGATCTTTAAAACATATCCGGTAACCAGGCTGTCAAAAAGTGTTCCATAGTGGTTTGGAACCTGTTTTAGATTCCAGCAACCTATAGGCGGTTTAAGACTCCACAAACCGTAAACAAGAGAATTAACCGCCGCCATTTGATGTAACTGATTCACAGACGGCGTACGATATCAGGTTGTCATAATTTTCAAACACACTCCTCGACGACTCGAAAATCAACTCACAAAAAGCATCGGAGATTTTAACTTTATTGGATGTCATTTTACTGAAACTTAATTCAGAAGATTGGTTATTTGCCACAGGGATATTTCCTTCAGGAGCGCTTGACCCCCCATCAGTGCTACTGGAAGTTTAAGAAACTAAAAATCCTCAGAATTTATTCTCAGTGTATAGATCTAAAGAGAGCACAGCTCACCCCAAAATAGCAACAAGCTCAATACTTGCGCGAGGTCATATCGACCTCTGCCTGTCAAGCGCCGAATACGCCGCTCTTTACTCCCTGCGCGCTGCGTACGACACTCAAGCAGTCGGACTGCCAGCCAGCCAACCGTTTCCGACTACCGATCCATTGAATGGTCACACGCTCGAGTTCGCGATCTCGTGTTTGTCTGCATGGCTGCGTGTGCAATGCTTGCGTGCGTACGCGCGTCGGAAGGGATACCACCATAATCAGCACTCACTCACTCACAATGCACCACTTTACGAGACGGACGTCTTGCAGACAAAGTGAGGCAAATCGGCGGCGTCGACGATGCTGCTCAGCAATTTTTGGCGCTCAGCTGTGTGTGTGCGGATTACTATGCCACTGCACGGACACTATGGATGGTGGTTGCTAGAGCTGGTACTGGTGGTGGTGGTGCTTTTGCTTTTGGTGTTGTTATTTGATGGCGTTTTGGTCGTTATGTTTCATTTCCTGTCAGCAGTGGCAGAAGAAATTGCAATACATGCAACAACAAAACCAGCAACAATGAGAATGAGAATAATAAATGCCACCATAGGCAACAGCAAGTAAACACGGAGTGTCGCATCGCATTGTAATGATGATGATGATAATTTTTGATGAACACGACCATCATAGTGATCTTCTTTGGCTAAAGAATTGTAACAACAATATACCCAGTTGTGGGTATGCGGACACATACACGCTTATGAACAAACAAACATAAATACAGTGGGCGTCAAAAATAAGTATACTCAGACGTTTTGACGATTTTTTTAAATTATACTTTCCATACCAAATTTTTCAAAATTAGTACATGGTAATTTTTGTTAAATATTTGCAAGTTTTTTAAAGTGGAAATTTTTTTGTTATTTTTTATAAAAAAAAATGGTTTAGATATTTGAATTTCTTAATCTGAATTTTTAGACTTTTAATTTTTAGTATAATAAAGTGCAAGTTTTAAGAGGCCGAAATTTTTAGTATTTTTTTTTTTTGTTTTTTGTTGACGGCTTTTGCGGTTTTTTTTCATGTAAAAAGTGCAATTTATAAAAACTGGCGTTGATTTTTTTTTAACTTTCTTTGCATACGGTGTTTCGAATTTTCTTCCATAATAAATTCATGCTTAAATGTAAAAAAGTGCAAGAAGCCGACAGCAAAAAAAAATAATAAAAATTAAAAATCAAAGCTATTTTTTAGCAGCATAAAACTTACACTGCATTACACTAAAATTTAACAGGCTATAAAACTAGGTACCTAAAAATGTTCTAAAGGTTCGGATTCAGCTCAAAATTTGCATACACATTTTTTTAAATTTTCTAAGCTCTGTGTAAAGTTAGCATAAATCATATTTTTTATAAAAAATAACAAAAAAATGCGCTTGCAAATATTTAAAAAAATCGCCATGTTTGTACTAATTTTTGCTCCCCACTGTATCTAGTTCATTCAACAGCAAGAACCATAAGAATTTTTTTTTTCTAATTTCATAAAGAATTCGGGGAAACTTCCAAAAATTGTAATCGAATTTTTTAACTTTTCAATTAGATTTCTTAGAAAAATTTGGACTAAGCAGTTTTGTAGCCTATAAAATTTTAGTATCATAAATAGCAAGTTTCAATATTTAAAAATTTCCGTTGAATTTTTTGCTTTTTTTTTTGCCGATGGTGTTGCGCAAAGAAGATAAGAAGCAACACCCTCCGCGCATAAAAATTCTCAAAAATTAACAGTAATTTGGGGTAATGGGCATACTCAAAATTTTTCTAAGAAATCGATTTAAAGAATTGAAAGTTTCGCAGAAAATTTCTTACATTTTCCCGTAAATAATATATTAAATTAAAAAAAATCTATTCTTTTAATTTTTACTTTTAAATGAACTAAATTTTTATAAAAACATAAGAAAAATTTGGTATGGAACATACAAATAAATAAAATGATCAAAACGTCAGGGTGTGCACATTTTCTTGACGCTGACTGTATGTATGAACATCTGTGCTTGAGCCCGATCGATACCCATGTATGGGGAAGTATGTATGTATGTATATTTGTACGCTTTGTTCACTGCTGTCACTCGGTTAGGGGAGATCTCCTAAATATGCTTGTATGTATGTATGCGCGTATGTATGTGTGCTGCCAGGATCGTGAGAAACTTTTCTCCCTGCTTTCCCACCGTTCGCACTGCAGGCATTTGGACGCATTCGCTGATCGCTCGATTGCCCCCTACACAGAAGTCACCTGCCACTCGGCAAACGCGCGCGCTCTTACAAGTTCAAATGCATACATACATACATACAAATACTTTTAATTCAATCCCCGCTCAACATGCAGATTCTTATGCACAGTGAGATTTGTTGCGCTAAATGTTGATCGTGCCGGAGGTTGCGACGTTGGTGTTGTTGTGGTGCCATTGGCAGGTTCTCGAAGCACCCTTGCGTGCGTACAGGTTCCCATCGATGCGCGTTTAGTTCGATAAGCCTAGGCGGTGATTTGCGTTAAGGTGTTGTTTTTATTTTTTCCCCAAAATTTGTTTTTCTCCTTTTGTTAGCCAACAGCTGTTGCACTTACTTTTTGTTGTTTACTCGTCCGCTGGCTGCTTGATTGATTTTTGTTGTTTTGATGCGCTCATTCGCTGACCATATTAAGTTTGCCCGAGATTGGCTGGCAGCTACTTAAATTTTACACACTGACTACTTTGTAGTACATCTTCAAGTAGTTCATTCATAAGTCGTCTGGTGTATGCGGTTGAAAGTTTTCCTAAGTATTAATTACATTGTTTTAAATTTAAGCACATTGCAAGCGGTGATTTTAGGCAGTTGGTCAGATTGATGGAGGTCGTTGAAAAAAATAACAACTTTTTTTTTTTTGCTTCCATGTAATTTATTTTCCCACAGGTTAATGAATGAAAGTAGACAATTAACAATTTTTTAACCATTATGCGGAAAAGGTCAATTTTTTTTACCGAAATTTGATTTTGTTGCAATACTACTTTCATTTACTTTTCATTGATAAAATCAAAGTCATTTTTTATTGGAAAATCTTTTACTACGCTTTTAGTGAGCGCAAATTTTGGGAACCCTCTACGACTTAACTCAAGCATACTTGAACCTGGTTACTAAATGGTCTACAAACTGCGGACTTTGCTGTAAAT